CTCTTTATTATTTATACTATATATTCTTCAATCTTCTACTCTTATTTAATTTTTTTCTTTGTTTTTGATAATTTTTTTTTGTTCTTCTATAAGTAAATTTATCTCTTCCTTTTATTGTTACATTATACTTCTTGTTTCTATTTCTTCTAACTGATTTTCTTTTGCCTTATGTTTGATAAAAAATATAAAAACCTACTGTTTTTTAAGAAGTTGTTTTAACTGGTATACTTTTTTAAAAATAGTTTACATCACTTTTATTTTTGATTTATTGGATAACTGATTTTTTTCCTATTCTATTATTGAGTCTTTTTAGGTTATTTAAAATTAGTTGTAATGATTCTTGTTGTATATTATTTTAATTTCTTAATATGGTTTAATTGAAATTGTTTCTATTATATTGTCTTAGTTTTAATAATTTATTGGTTCTCTCTTATTGTTTATAGCTAGGTATAAAGATTATGTAATAAATCTTTTATTTGTTTAATTTTTTTATATTAAGTTTTACCACTTTTTCTAAGTCAGAATTACTGTTAATGCTATTTGTTTTCTGGAATGCTATTAATATCCTATTGTTATATTGATTTTTTTTTTATGAAGTGATATTATATAATCTTTTATATATTTTACACTTTATAATAATCTAAACTCTTGTAAAAATATATGTTGTTTATAAGTTTTATTTGGATTTTTTCTTGTCTCAAAGTATATTGTTATGAAATTTTATTTTTCAAGATGTAGGGATCTTTTGGTATATAATAAGCTTTAGCTTTTATTTTCTCTTATACTCTGATTATCAGAATTGAATATATTTTATTTGTGTAAAAAAATTTTGTCAAATAAGTATTTTATTGTATTATAATATTATTAATATAATTGTTTGTTAGTTTTATTTTAGTAAAAATTATTCTTGCCATTTTTATTCTTAGAGCTATTCAAAAAATTCTTTAAATTGATATTAATATATGTGTACTGTTTAATATAATACATTTATTTTAGTTTTGTTTTTTGTATAGTTATATATACTTAGATTCTTGATTTATTATATATTTTGAAATATTTTTTTAGTTAAAGTCAACTTTTTTTTATATTAATATTTATTATATTAATATAAAAAATTCTTTTATTTTTTTTTTTTTTAGATATTAATTTCTTAAAGAATTTTTTTTTATTATTGTAATAGTTTGATCTTTTAATTTGTATTTTAATTTTTTTGACTTTAAAGCTCAATTGTTGAATGCCAAAGTTTTTTTTTTTTATGATTAATTTCTTTTATATATTTTAATAGATTTTTTCTTTCATTAATATAAAAGATTATTCATTTGTTTTAATTTAAGAATTCTAAATATTATAGATTTTAAATCTAATATTTTGATTTTTTAATATAATTAATAGACCTTTTTTTTATTAAGATTTTTTTATAATAAAAACTAATAAATTTAAAATAGTTTTATACTTGAAAGTTAAAAATATTTTATTAATTAAATAAATTTATTCTTCTTATCATCCTTATAACAATATAATCAAGTTAAAATAATCAATTCTAACTAATTTTAAATATTGATTTATTAATTATTATCTTATTTTATATTTCAATAAATATATTATAATAGCATAAATATAAATTTTTTAAATAAAATATTTTTATGTGACTTATAGTTTTTCTATAAAAAATCTTAGAAGTGTACTATTCTAAAAGTGATATTTCTTCAATTAATATTATGGATTTCTGATCTTTATGACTTATTTGCTTGTTAAATTTTAAGAAAATTTATTATTTAATAAGATAACTTTGATATCAAAACTAATTAAGATATCTTATTAACTTTTTTATAATCAATAAAATTATTAAAATATTTGATATAAATTCAATCTTCATTTTATGTGATTGTAAAATTGTATTTATTATTTTTTATCTTTTCAAAATAAGAATAATATATGGATTATCTTATGATTCTATAGATTAGTTTAATTTAATAGAGATTAATTGGAGATAATATTATGTAATAACAAATTATTTATTTTAATTTTAATAAAATAAATAAATTTTTATTTGATAATATTACTGTATATTATTTAATAAAACAAAGTACTATATTTATTATGATAAAATATATTTTATGAATAGTTTTTTGCTTTACTTAAGCTAGAATTATTTACATAAAAACTTGAAGCTTTACTATTTAACCTATAAATATTAAATTTTGATTATTTTAATATCACCTATTTTAATTTAATTTATAAAAAATTATTTTTAAAAAAAAATAAAATTCAAATTATTAAAATTATTAGATAAAACCTATTAATCAAAAACATTCTAGATAATCCAAAAAATAAAATAATTCAATCGTTGTATACAAATTTTAATTTAATTTATTAATATTATCATACTAAACTTGATTACATATTTTTTTCAACATTTATTTCTAAAAATATTATTATTATTTTTTCTTGTTCGTCTTTTCATCCTTACTTACAAATATTGTAAGCTGGTGACTTTCAATATTAAATAGATTGATTGGTTTATCTCTATTGGAACGTCACTTTGATAAAAAAACTTTTCAAAAAAAGCGACAGAAGTAATGATGCATTTTTTTTTTTTTTTCAAACGGGTTCGCAATCATAAATGAATGTACAAACAAGTCCGCAATCGATTGGAAGAAAACGCGTAAATCAGCTAATGCTAAAAAGAGTTTGAACCATTATTTCTTTGGTGTGCAAGTTTCATAATGATCTCTCGCTAGGCAAGGCAAAGGTTACATGTCAACAATCGCTGACTTGCACATTTTTTGCTTGTCTTTCATATCGCAAGTCCTCTTTGTTCAATTGATCCCAATAAACAATCTTTGTTGTCGTGCGATTAATATTTTCATCGCGAGGATTAATTATTGTTTTGATGTAAGTATTTTGCATTCGCAAGTGTTTCGACCTTTGTTAGAGCGCTCACCGCAAATTGTCTTTCTTTACCTTTCGTCAAATGATTGTGCCCTAATTTGAAAAAATTCATACTGAGCAATTGTGATCAGGTTTGAAAGAAAATTTATGAATGTCAATGGCGGATGTTGGTCAACAAAAGCGGTTAATACACCATTAGTAATTAGTACATGTGTATTCATACGTGCAAGAGAAATTACAGTCCAACATCTAATCAATGATGATTATCATGATTTTACCGGGAAAAAATTTTTCGTTGATACGTATTACAAAAAAGCTTATGTAAAGAACAATACTTGCAATAGTGAAACAAAAACAAACATATACAGCACACACACATATATATTTCTTTTTAATGGGTAGTGGTCTTAATCGGAAAGAATGGACGGCAATATAAATTAGAAATTTTTTATTATGAAACCGTTGAATTAATTTAAAACGCACATGCGCGCATACACATGTCACCAGGAATTAATTACCTAGACATGTTATCATATTATTTCATTTATATTCTACAATACACTCGAGATCATCAACTATTGTTGACCGAATCTGGATTGATGATTCATCCGGGTCCTTTACGGGCTGTGACCAACGCAAAATCTCGAATCTTTCTTAATCCCGGAACCACCAAATTTTAATCTCGGATCATGAAAGGATAAAATAAAAACTTGACGTCCCTTTATTCCAAATGATGACTGTAATCTTTTTTGTTTAAAACGAAATTTAAGGTTCGGAGCAACCGACCTCGAGTCCGCACAAAGGAAAAAAACTTCTTTTTTTAACGACTCGACCTCTAGTGTTGTTTCACCCACAAAAAGTTTCGAATAATGGTAGCAGAGAATTCGAAAGAGTTTTCTCGAACATTTTTTCCCAATGATTAGATTACACAGCCGTGTCAGATTTTTAGGATTATGTACAAAAAAAAAAATTTTTTTTCTTCCTTGCATTATTTCCATAATAATCGTGATCCACGTACCGAACCTAAACCAAAATCCAACAATTTTTTTTTTGTGAAATAGAATCATAGAGAAAATTTAAAAAAAAATTTGGTGCACGCGGTAAGTTAGAGAGTTTCAAATCTTGAAACCCAAATTAATGGTAAATGGGATCTATAAATAAATGGTTAATGACAGAAGTCTAGTAGTTTGGTCGCTAGATTATGCGATGCAAAAATAAAAAACAATGCATATGAATGGGTATTACTATTGTTCTAATCATCTGATACGTATAAATATATGACACACTTGTAACCATATGTAACCATTGTGCGACTAAATTATGACCACGTTGGTAACTCATTTTTGTGCGCAGTATACCAGAACAATTATTGTTTCATTCTTTTAATAATGCCTAATAATTTTAGAATTAGCATAACTACACACCGCTATCATACACGTTTTTTTTTGTGCACATTATGCACATGCCTTAATTTAATCACTATTCCAAACTTGCGACACGCAAAAACTATCGTCCATCGATGATAACACGAATGCCGGCATACACTGATGACACCACCAACCACTATCTCAAACACTCCCCAACTTCATAAATGATCTTATAAATATGATCGAATAACTATTGAATTAATGAACACCGAGTTGGTAACAATGGGCAAAATTTTATTCCACCCGCACAACGAATTATAAAACTCTGGTAGAAACAATACTAAGATCTTGAGATTCCCTCCAGAGTTAAGGTTTTTGATTTGGTTAATATGGTTTATGCCGTGACCCCCAAGTCTGTCCCTTAACTTTTAACATGTTGATGCAAGGGTTTTTTAATGTTATGGAACCTGTTTAGGGTTCTAGATGTCAGAAAGAGGATGCAGATTCAAGAGAGAATTATGTTAGAGAATGATTGATTGACTTGATATAATGTACGAGTTATGATGAGATTATAACTTCGGCAAGTATATAAAGGAGAGGAGAGACTTGCATTCGTCCAGTCAGAAAAAGCAAACCCTTCAAAGCTCATAACAAAAGAACAACTTTAAAAGCAACAACAACAACAACGACAAAAAAAAAAACAAACCTCCTTTGCTCTTCTAGATCTCAATTTTCTTAGAAATGGCCCACCTCTTGGATCACGCACTCGAATCCGACAACGATTCCCTCAGAGACTCTAGAGGATCCAGTAACAATGGATACTACGATTCTACAGATGCCAGCGCGACATCCGATGAAATTGCTTATCAACAGTTCCTTTCCATCTTATCCATGGATCCCATTATTATCAAAAGACTCCGCGAGATGGGTCCCGAATACTTTGGTAACAGGGAGTCCGCTTTCGCCGAGTTACAAATCAAAGCTCTTGGTCGGCCGGACAGCACACCCCAATCGTTTTACGTCCATCGCGAATATTTGGTCTCTCAGTCGCGATACTTTGTCAAGTTGTTTAAGATGCTCAAAAATGACAATTCTCCTATCAACATCGAGATCCCATCGCCGGAAACCTTTGAACCGCTACTGGAGTATCTGTACACCGGAAACGGCGACAAGTGGTACGATACGATCACCTTGGAAAATTATGAGGAGGTATATGAAAATATCAAATATCTCGGCCTAAAGTTGGATGTAAAGAAGATCTGGCTAGACTTCTACAATTCTCAAGTTGGAATCAGCGAGTGATAAGCGTACGCGTAAGTTTGTGACAATGATTTGTAAAAGGTATCGTAAGTGAAGCAAGTATCATTCAGTTGTCGTCTAGCTTCCCTTGTACTATTTACTCCTTTTATTACTGCTCTCTCCTTTACACACAGGTTTTTCTCTATACACACCATCAATCTGCATTTCGTACATATATTTTCATTTAAATATTTCCCCCCCCCCCCTGTATTTACCCTTATTCTCATATTTTGGTATTTGACTCGGTTTATTTTTTTTTTTTTTTTCTGTTATTATTATTTATTTGTTAACTTATTTTTTTTTTTCACCCGTCCTAAAACTCACCCCCGAGGTTCTCTTACCTTTTTCTTTTTTTCAATATTCTTATTTATTCTTGTCTCCAACTAATTTTACTATACTTTTTTTAAAAAATTCGTTACTTTTCGACTTCGTTTTTAAATTCTCGTTTTGGCAAATCTGATTACTTTTCTTCATCTTATGTCTTACTTATTTCAAACATTCGCATTTATGTTCTATTTTTAATATTCGCATTTATGTTTAAGTATTTTTTACTTTATTTTATTTTATTTATTTTTTCGCTATTTCATCATTTTACCCCTTTCCGTTCCTTTTTTTTTTTTTTTTTTCGATTTTACACAAACGATCGAACGACCTTTCACACAAGCATCGTTTGTCTCACTAAGACATGATCTATGTAAATAACAACTTCTTTCATAACCATTTACCATTCTTTTCACTCCCTATTTCGATCCTTTGATCATCTTTCACTTATCCACCCCTCTTTCTTATCCCCTCACCACCATCCACCTTTCCACCTCAATTCTTATATCATCCTTTTTCACTCACCATTCACTCAATCTTTCACTTACCATCATTCAACTTCCCCCTTTCATTTTTCATCTTTCCATTCAATTCTTCTATTTCAATCCCTCCCTTATTATTTTATCCATTGGATTGTTCATCTTTCATAAATCATCCAATATATTAACATTCTTACAACTGAAAAATTAAGCATCGTTATCATCGTTTCATGTAACGTTGGATAGCGAAAGTCACAATTAAGCAACTTATGAAATCTATATTCTCTTCACTTTTCTCACAGTAAGCAACATACTGTGATCTCAACAAAATTTCAAATAAAGTTTATTTTTTATTTTCTTTCTTTCTTTCTTTATCAAACAATTGAAGTATGCACACGAATTGTGGTACAACTGCTCCCTTCATGGTGAAGCTTACAGTAAATAATTTTCTGTGTTGTTTGTATGCCAACATACCCTAAATGCAAAGGGATGGTTAATACCTTGTAGAAGATACAAGCGATATTGTTTGGAAGCAAGCCATTTATTACACTCAGCAGCTATACTTTTAGGGTTAAGATGCGATGTACAGTAGTTGACGCCTCCGAATGCGATCACGTGATGATGGCAACTCACTAGGGATTTGAATAATAAAGAGTCGATTCTATTCTACTTGTATGTACAGTATACAGTATTATTGAATCAAAAAAAAAGAAAACCCCTTTATTATTTATTATTCGGTTATAATGTCAAAAGGTTAGATTTCTACTTTGTCAATCATATACAGTATCTTATATATTGAATTTATTATTTAATCCATATAAAATAAAAAACTTGAATTCGTATTGATTAAAAAAATAAAATTCCATCAGTTATTCTTTAATCAACACTGCAACGTTTTATTGATTATTAAGAATAGGTAACTTTAATATTAAAAAAAAAAATTTTTTTTTTTTTTTGATATTTTATGATCTTTATTGTTTTTTTTTTTTTTTTTTAACCCTCAATCATGTTGAAACAGCTTGTCTTTATTAAGATACTTGAGAAAATACCAAAATAATCCGCAGACCTTGATCTTTATTGTAATTTAATATGGAATAGTTATAACTTCAATATTGTTATTTATTTGTTTTTTTTTTTAATTTAACTAATAAGTATATTACTTTTTTTTTTTTATAACCGTCTGTTAGGTTATGTGTGCTTTATTAAACATATCATAAACTATACTAATAACAGTATCACCAACTTTTAGAATCTAGTTGCTAGATTATCATATATTGTTTATAATAACATATTAAGCTATCCTGAATTCTATTTTAAAAATCAAGACTCTATTTAAAATATATAAGACTTATTTGTATATTAATTTTTTCTTTCTTAATATTCTAATTATTAAATCAATTTTTTTGAGAATTTTTTCTTTTATTTTTTATTAAGGTTTGCTAATTTCCTATTCAAATATTCAGAAATCTAATATATTTGTTTCTGTTTAGTTCTTCAATATCTTTTTTATTAATTCTAACTTTAATCCTATTAAAATATTACCTAAAGTTCTTAATAATTATAAATACTAAATATTATTTATAAAAGATATTGTTGCATATTTAAATTCTAACTTTATTCTTTTTTGTCTTGAAGATTTAAATTCTATTTATTGATATTTTATATTTCTTATTTTTAATATTTTGAATTTTATTTAATAATAAATTATTGAAAATTCTTTATAAAAAAAGTAAAATAGTTTTTACCTTAATCAATCCTATCTTTTGTTACTATTGATTTTATCAAATCATTCTCATATAATATTTTAAACTTTTTATTCTTAAAAAAATCAATAATGATTTTAATAAAACCTATAAAAATTTTTTTTCTTTTTATTATTTTTTATAATAAATTTAAACTTATAGTATTATATGTTTTAATCATATCTTGAAAAAAATTTATGATTTTTTTTTTATTTTCTCTTATTTCTTCACAAATAATATTGAGTACTTAAATTGATTCTTTTATATATTTTTTTAATAATTTAGTAAAGGTTAAATCTTTCAAAATTTCATATATATCAAATACTATTTAGTTTATTAATAAAAATTTTTATAAAATATTTGAATAACTTCAAGAAAAGCAAGTGTTCTTGTATTCTATAATTCACAATTCTATAGTTTTAACTTGATAATTATATAATATGACATTGTTTTTATCTATTTGAACTGTTTTTATTTTTAGAAATTTGT